AGTATTGCAGGTTGTACTTCCGCGAAACGTACGAAGTGATATTGGCCGGCGCGGCGTCCCACGTTAGGTCTTCGCTGCCCTGAATCTGGATGAGAAGATACAGCCGGAGGATGGAGGTGACAGTGGTGCTGCGATCTACGTCAGCTTCGTACGAAGCTCTGGTACGTGGCGACGTACAGTAAGCCCAGACCGAATAGTCCTGCGACAAGAAGCTTGGCATTGAGTGCCATATGGAGGTTGAACACAAGGCGCATTGGGAGGATTAGCAACACAACGTCCATGATGATGTTCGAGGCGGCCGTTGCCAAGAAGAGCGCCACGGCATCAAGTGACAGACTCGGTAGGCGCGAGAGGTATAGCAGCAGGGTGATGGCAACCGTGATCATTATCACAACACCCTGTGTGACCTTGGCGATGATATTGAAATTTCGGTCGGGGAATAGTTGTATATAAAGGCAGAGTATAGACGCCTTCGCACAGCCGATGGACATCATGAAAGCCGGCGCCGCATTGTAACTGAGCTGCAACGGCTTGTCAATCACAGCTATCTCGTTAGAATAGGCCCTGAGACGCACCTCGACGTATATCCGGAATCGATCGTCTGGAATGGATACTCGCGGGAAGCACATTGTACCCATGGATATCGCGACTACGCCAACTTCGTTAGCGTTTTCCATCCCCGGGTCTTGGAGGTACGTGCCAATCATCAGAATTTGCATGGCGGACGAAAACACCTGGCGTGCCGGTATGAGTCCTCGGTCTCATGAACGTGACTTCCTATCTCTTACTTACCCAGGAAAATACCACCAACACTGGGTACGGTACGTCAGTCATGCTTGCTTGCTGTACGTCCTTCGGCTGCGTGATTACTTACTGTCATCTAGCCTGAGACCACTATAACGGTGCCTGATGTAAAGCCGCAAAAGAAGAAGGAGAGTGGAAACGCCATAGCCAACACCAAACACAACATAGTGAAGATCGACCAAGTTCCCGGTTGCCGCTGGAGCGACGGTGTTCGCAGAGGTAAGGCTGGGCTCAGACATGATGTTCGTGTTGTTGACTCAATGTCAATGGATTCTTCAGGTAGTCGACCATTGCCAACGTAGGAGAACTCGGGGACCGTCACGTCTTATAAAGCCCGGCAGGAACCGTACTCGGAGGACGGCCGGCCCTACACCCAGTGCGGTGTGATTGAAGTCCTGAGACATCTCCTGACGGGGGAATTAAACTTTACTTTGGTGGCGGCGGCGTTGTTGAGGAATTGGCAATACGAGCATTTCCTGTCTCGAGATCCCTACCACGGATCGGCTCCTATAATCTTGCCATGCCCCGGGTCAATCAGGAACAGACGAGGGTTTTTCGTCAAGAACATTGCACCCACTCCTGACATACGTGCAGGCTACGAAAGATCTAATGGTTCCTCTAGACCGTATGCTCCTACCATGGCAGCACTGGCTGTAATGCTCTCCGGGCGATGCTGCCGCTGGAAAGCACAAATCCAACTGAGCAGCTACGCGAGTTGAGAGAAGAAGCCTCCATGCCCTGTACATTGGTCTGTCGGGACATTGGCCTGGCTCATGCCCTATCTACATCGGGAACTTATGCGTCCCCGAAACCCCTCGGCGCCTCCAAGAGCATCGGCAGTCACCCTTCAGCCATCGAAACCCGTCTTCCCCGTCGCGTTGAGCACTTCCAGTCTAGTGTATAATGAGGTGATGAAGTCGGCTACGGCAGATGTGATTGGCCCGCGAACGACATCCTGATCCGGTTAGTGGACGACAGTGCGCTGACTCGTCCGTCTGCCCCCTCTGATCGAGGCCCGGACGTTGCGGCTTGTACCGTCTGGTGTCCCTGGCGGGAAAGGACTCGGTGGGGCCCCTCGGGTGGCCACAAGCTCAGCGCAACAAAACGGCGCGATACTTCTGGCTCGAAAGACGCCATAGGGTGCAGTTCAGCAGGGGCGTGAGGGAGCCACCTGGTGTCCACAACCCGTTCGAGCTACGACCATCCGTACCCGAGGCACGGACTTTGGGGTTGGCTAGTGACAGCGCCGGCAGCCCTTGCATAAACCTTGGAAGGAATCAGCCCTCCGGGGGCTCAGACCGGACCCCGGCTCACATAAAGTGAGCTGCATAGAGCACAATATTCGATATGACGATCGGTTACCTTAGCCAACGCCATTCAACCAAGGTCTTAGGACACCAGGCGGCGACGTGACGGCGCGCCAAGGACGATGGCCTGTCACTCTACACAGTTCGTTCGAACTCGCTCGAAGGTATTACAGGGAACGCCCGGCTATCGGGGGGTTTGACCCGGGGTACTTGATGTGCAATTCAGACGCAGTTTTCAATACACATCCTTCGTTCTGGATCTTTGGGGCTATTATCGCTCATCGTTGAAGAGAAGCTCGTTTCTGATCGCGACGCCAGGCCATGCGCGGACTGGCGCCACGAACATAATTCACCCTCGGTCCAGTTGATTGCGCGGATCAAGGAGTCTCAATTTGGCATAGATGACAATGAAGTAGGAACGATATCTGGTCCGACCATTGCATCTTACTGATAGGTTCACGCATCTGTGCTTTGCCCTCTCCTGGTTCGGTCCAGACATTCAGGGCATGCGCCCGCTTTGTTTCACAACATAGCCAGGCAGTCTTCGCGGCTGACGAGCGCAAGCAGCCATGCCCCAAGTGTGTACATCGCCTGAGATGACTGCCAATCCACGCCGTCGGGGCGAGCGAAAGCCATATTGCGTCTATCTTTGCTTTTGTTCGAGGACAACGCAATGTCTCCGTCTACAACATTCTAGTAGCCCCGTGGACGGTGGCGCTGCTGCTGTTGTTCCGCTGAAGAGGTTCTCACCGATAAGCATGCTGTCAGGCCAATAGAGTTGGAAAAGCGATCGGTGGGATGATGGGAAGACTTTCTCCTAGGCTTCCAAATACGGTTCGTGATCCATTAGAACTTGCCACGAATCTTGATTCTTTTGTTGTTGTTCTTTCAAAGTTCATGACGTACAAGCAGATGTCACTTTCGTCGTCAGGCAGACCGCTAGGGTCGGTAGTAAAAGGCAAGCGGTCAATCAGCTTCATAAGAGTCCTCGCATAGCATTGGTGTCGATAACTCTGCAATGCACATGTCAGCGAAGTACTATCTGAAGATTGAGAGCACACGCCATGAGGCTTCCTTCTGTAAGAACACCCTGCTCGCTGTTCCAACCTGGAGACGAATGGCTTGCTGCCGGTGTTGTGTTCCACTATGTTCGTCTGAAAGTTACAATGCCGCGTAGACACGTTGTTAGAATGCTCGCATCAGAACGGCTTCTCACTAGTATAACGGCGAATGTTACCTTACAAGTTTTAAGTCAACTAGAACTCAAGCAGAGATAATTACTTGCCGTAACATTGTCTGGCTGGGGGGAAAGCGCCCATATCCATGCCGATTGTCTTGCCCGGAGCTATCGGTACTACTCAGACCACCACCACCCAGACGAGACGCACGTACGGCTTCTCTCTGGTGTGCGCACGCTTGTGGGTGTCAGATTGAATGCCCTAGTAGAAGTTTACGTCACAACTGCTGACTTCGCACATCTGCTATACAGCTTGAGAGGTGCCAACACCGTTTGTGGACATCGTCGAGGATGTAAGATTGAAAGTCTTATGGCCGGCCTCAAGCTCAGAATGCGTCAGTGAGGTCTGTACTTTGTGCCTGCCTCAACACTTATGTTGGTCAATACACTACTTCGTTTGATCTTGGAGAAACCGAACATATTTTGTATCATCTTCATGGGGGTGTCAATAGAGGTGGTAGGATTCAAAGCATCGGCGCCCGTCGGCTCGTGGAATAATTAGTCGAGGCACTGCGTTACCGACCACATTGGCTTAATACGCCATGGCAAGAACTTGCCCCAGGACACCATCACTTGTGCCCCGAGGGGATGATAAGCGCAACTAGCCTCCCCTGACGTGCTGAGGCTCAAAGAGGCATGCCGCAATGGGCGTGAGCCATATTTCACTTTGTCAAGCAGTCATGTCTCGTGACCGGCGACAGCGATGTCTGTAATGACAGTGCCTTCCGATATGAGGCTACATGATGAATCTATGATTAAGACCAGACATGGTTGCGCTCTACCAGTACTACATAGAGGTCAGATAGTTCATCACGACGTATGCATCGACAAAAGGCTATGACTATTCGCGCCTGTGATCGACACCCATCCAATCCGCATCTAGCTTCCAGCCTCTTTGCCAAGGAGAGCACAAGCCTCACCTAAGTGCGGCATGATTCAAAGTGTATCAGTGAGGCTAGTAAAGTTCTCTGCTATGCGATAGCATATCGAAACGTTTTCGAAGACAAAAGTACAGTTCTTAGTGGGGAAAGTTGTGCCTGGAAGGTGTCAGGAAGAAAAGTGGGCCGTGGATAAGGAACTGGTGGGCACGAGTGGGTGACTAATAGGTACATGCACTGAACAGCAGATCAGGTGTCGTTCCACATCGTGAATCAGGATTTCCATATCCAAGTAGATTTGGAGGAAAACCGGAGATTTGGGAAATGTCGCCTGTCCACACTTGGTGGGACGATACAAGCCGGTCCAAGTCATGTGACAAGTACGAGGTCCGGCTGACGAGCAATATTGAATGGACAAACAAAAACGTCCGACAAAAGGAGTCCCATACTGGGGAGTCGTTATCGTGACGTCAGTCTACTAGACAAGCGAGGAGTTGCGCCCCGCCCAGCTTAACTCCAGAATTTTACAGAGTTTCTGCGCTTGTTTCTCCTACGTTAAGTTCGCACCAAGTCCTGTGGCCTATCTCAGGACATATCTTTACTAAACTTTGGCGGATCACTGAAGCTTTATTGCCGCCCTCCCTTCTCTCCTCACGATTACGGACACAGCTGAGGCAACCTCACACTACTACGAGACTACCCCTTAGTATCGTAGCCTTGACCCCTGCCAATACTTAATGACCATGACCGAAATAGCAAATCGCTGCACACAACTCTGTGAGGCACTCAGAGGACACATTCTCATTTGTCGCGTTGGCGTGCTGTTCTTGTTTCCCAAAAAGTGGGCGTAAGTGCGCGTGGCTGAGCTCAGAAGTGGCTGTGCTAAGGGGCTGAGATGCACGTGTGACGTGACGAGCGCGTGTATTTCTGCCTGAGGGGCACTCTTGCCTGAGGGGCACGTGAGGGGTTAATGGACCTTGACCGGAAGCTTGGGCATCAACCCCGGCGAGAATCGATTATTTCATCTTTGTAGAATGCATCTCACGGCTTTGTGGCCCTACGTCTCGAGCCATGGAAGTCACAAAAACGAAATAGTAGAAGTACGGCTCATCTCGAGTAAGGAAGTCTGTCGCTTCGTCTTGCTCTATCACCTTCATTTTACGTTGCTAACCGTTTGTCAGGCTGTTCTACTCTTTAGACGCATCCCGCTTATTGCACTATCAGCATCCCCACGACCAAAATCACGAAGTTTCGGCCCATACAATGTCCAGTGTCATCGGCAGCAAGGCCCTCGAAGGGGAGAAGGAGCTGGTGGAAGCACACCATGAATTCACGGTCGATAATCAGACAGCTGTGATTGCAGAAGGGATGATGATCATGATCTTCAAACCGAACGTAAAGACGGCTATCTGGTACGGGAAAGAAACTGGTCCTAAAGGAATCCCTGTTTCGGAAGGTTACAAAGTCGTAACTTACAACGCGTCTGCGCAGTTCAAGCGTTGAAAACAATCAATCTGTCTCCGAAAAACGGAATCCCAAATATTGCACGATTTCCCAGCCTGCCTTGTATCCTACCGTAAGGACAAAGGAGATGTCCGCTTGGTCGTTGTCAGGAATCATAGCAGAAATAGCGCTCGTTCGCATTTCACTCGAGTTTGAAGACTCCGCGTCCTTCTGCCTCTCCCAACACCACTGTCGGCCGGTGTGTATGCCCTGCAGAAAAGGAGAGGTGCCAGGCAGAACGCCTTCAAGTTTATCACCCTGCGCTGCCACAAATTGGAAAACTACCCCCCCTACCTTGATATTAATATACTGTTTTTGAATGTCGCGTGTCTGCCGCAAACTTACTGTTGGGGTTCAAATTCGGAGCAGTGTCCTCATGTACCGTTTCCGGGCATACAAGACTCTCTGATTTGAGTATCAACGGTTCCACCTCGCTCGTTACACCGTCCAGCCGTCGCTTCTTGGTGCTTGTTTCCGATGGTAGTAGATCTGAACAACATCAGAAACTTATTATGAGTATTGACGTTGGGTCAGGCAAAGTTACTTAACACCATTTGACCAATCTCTGAGATATTTTCGTTACATTTCTGTCGAAGGATATCGATGAACATTTCCCTTGTCTCCTGGAAAATTGTAAAATCGCCTATCACACGTGGAAACAATTCGGCGAAGACTTCGGAAAGGTCATGCTCCTTGATACTTGAGACAAAAGCCTCCGTAAGGGAGAATAGAGCTAGAAGAAGCCAGTTCATAGACCTTTCAGGTCGAGAAGAGCAAATTGTAACGAGAGGCAACAGGATACGGCTCACCTCGCCGCTTTGCACAAGACCCATAACATTGATTTGAAAGTAGTCGCGTTTTCTTTTTTGGGAGTTGCGCTTAGTCAGTGTACTCAAAGTCGTTTTGTTCCGCTCTATGCTCCCTCGAAGAAGACCGAAAGCTGTGGCAGCTTGAAGCCTCCTTTGATACGCAGCAAGGCTTTGATCAAGGCCGAATATTGCCTCTGCAGCCAGGAACCCATTTTGCTGAGTCTGTGAGAGTGGAGACACCATAGTGATGACTTCGGCAACGAGACAGCCAGGAAAAGTTGTGACACGCTAAGCAATGAGGAGTTCTGAGAGGGCGACGGCGAGGATGGCGAAGAGGACGGCGACGAGGACGGCGAAGAGGATGGCGAAGAGGATGGCGAAGAGGATGGCGAAGAGGATGGCGAAGAGGATGGCGAAGAGGACGGCGATGAGAATGCCGAAGCTCAACGGCGATGAGGATGGCGGAGAGGACGGCGAAGAGGACGGCGACGAGGACGGCGAAGAGGATGGCAACAAAGATGGCGAAGAGGATGGCACAGAGGATGGCGACGAGAGATACTTAACTGAATTGCGGTGTAGGCGCTAATAAGTTTTGCGCTGAGTGCGGCATTTGCTGCGATAGAAAGTGGGGCAGGTTGTCCGCGGGTTACGTTCATTGAGCATGAGTGTAAGAAAATAAGCCCATTGGCAGTAAGGGCGGTATTGGCGACAAGGATGGCGACAAGGATGGCGACGAGGATGGCGACGAGGATGGCGACGAGGATGGCGACGAGGATGGCAACAAAGATGGCAACGAGAACGGCAACGGGAATGGCAGACACGAGTACAGCCAGAGGCTGTGCTCTCATGCATTAGTCCCGATTGGGTATCGCTGTGGCTTGATCGTGCCCGCTGCTTGAGCCAACCTCAAGCAAGCATCACTAGTTTGTTCCCATAACTTGAGATTACTATAATCAGGCAAGAACACATCTGCAACCAAGTCGTCACAGTAGCTCGAAGGCCAATACATACAGGATCACCAACTTGTAATTGGTAGATTGATGGTTCCGTGTCCAGTTCTTTGTCTGTTATGTGGCGAATGCAATTGTTAAGCGAGAGATTTGAGCTCGACCAAATACCTTGCGCTCAATCATGGCCACGAAACTCTGGGTGTCCAATATTGGGACCCTCACCTCAATTCTCTCTTGGCTGCTCTCCTCTACACAAGTAATTGACATGATCAACGCGTTTATACATCCCATTAAGAAACAGAAATAACGCCGGTTCATTCTCCCAATGCTGGAAGGAGCTTCTCAATGGCTGGCAGCGAGTCTTCGGCCTGAGTTACGTAGTATGTGTATGGTTATATATTCCGGAGCCACTGCCATCGTCTAAGTAGTGACTGGTCGCATGCTATTCAGACCGATCGATGATGTGACATGCAGCTCGTCAATGTGACTCGGCTTGGGGGTGCCTGCATTACGAGCGAATCTGCCGAATCCAGATCTTGCTTTCAATATTCTGTCACTGTGCCTTTATCACGCAAGTAAGAAGATAACGCCAAGGAATTACCTGTATGGAATGTCAATCGAGTTAAACCCTTCATTTTTATCATGCTCTCAACGGGGGTTATATCAATTAGTATGCATGTAGTCACACGTTGAACATGGAGATCAGAACGGTGGTTGTTGAGTGTGTGTGAATGAGCAACAGTGAATCAGTCCTGACACCATTGCTTTAGGGTGAGATGAAGATGCCATGCAGCTCCAGCAAGGTCGTGACCAGCTTTTTGTTGAGCATAGCGGCCACGCCATTAGCGTATCCGACATGTGTTGACCAAGGCGTTCAGAGCTATGAGAAAACCGCATCGTGGCCTACATAAACGGCCGCATTACAAGGATGCGACGGTGATCGACTTCCCTCGATTCTTCGTGTGGGCTTGATTGTGACTATTGGGGACGGCTTGCAGGCCGTTGCTCTCAGCATGAGCTTTGGCCCAATTTCCGTTGTCACCTACAGGCGCTGGAGGCTGGGTCAGATATCGAACTTGACAAGCCCTCAATGGCTTGGCCACAGTAAAAGAAGGCACCTCAAGCTTGATATGCGGGTAGCCTCATGCTTGTGGTGTTGTTGACGTTCCTGCGAAGTCCGCAGGACCCGAAAGCGTACAAGTTCGAATAAGTATCCCCAATGGATGTTTGATAGGTAAAGAACCACAGGTGGTTTTGGCAGTTTCATAGCCTTGTAATGGTACATGGAGGGTCTATAATGCTAACGAGGTTCTGTTTGTCGAGCTCGCCGATGATTGACGTGATTTTGACAGGGTCGAATCGATATTTGAGAGCGTTGAAATCCCGGGGCCAGCAAGGATCCAAAGTGGCCGTATGCGAGGCCATTCCAACGCAGTATTCTCAAACCATCGGACCAGGCTGTGCCTTAGTACTCACACATTGCCAGCTTCCCATGTGTAGGCCTCGCTTCTGTTTCCTAGCCCTATCTCTACACATGCCGTCATACCATGCACGGAGACGTGGGTGTGTCGGTTGTGAGGTGAACCCACCTGAATATTGCTACGTTTTCCCAAAGTTGTGCTCTAGACAATCTTTCGACCAGTCAGAAGGCATGTCAGAGGGTATGCGGCCGCAAGACGGGCCATTGCATTGGAGACTGGGTGGAACAGTCAAGAGGACCGATGTGAATACTATGTATCTGAGAAAAAAGGAGTCTGATCTTCGCATTGGAACGTCAGATATAAAATGGGCTCCTTTCTCTCGTAGAAGGCATAATTCATTGGTCTGGTGTGTCCAGACCTGAAAAATACTTTGACGCTTCACTAAATGTCGAATTTTAGCACTCTTCATGATTACCCGTACAATACCTGCCAATCTTTCAAAATGCCAAACAACCCAAACTTACGCCAACCCCCAACTCCGCCGCCCCCTCCTCCTTCATCACCTCCGCCCGCTGCTCCACAGGAAACCACATCCATGACCGAAGTTGGCAGCATAAGGGAGATAGTTCGACTCTGATCATGTCGATCTCAGGTTTCGAAGATCAGTGAGTTTCGTCAAGCTTGACTGAGTTCGGCTCGTTCTATTACTAAGTCAACAGATCTTGTTAGAGCTTAGTTTTCAGCAGATATTGCTCTGTGTTAAGAGAACAGCAATTCCTTTTCCGAAAGGGATGTTTGATGAACCAAATTGTGTATAGTTCGTGGTATGGTGGAAGAAATGAGTCTAGTGTTTTCTTGGTTCAGAGAACGACACGTCCTGCGAGGTGCGTTGTTCGTTGTGGAACATAAGCGTCGTCGAACTTAACAGGCAATTGGTAGCCTTTCGATTGTACTTGTCTCAACGATGATGGTTTGGGCACAGATATGATGCTCGACGCAATAGCACGTGGCATGTCTTCTTTCACCAGTAGCAGTTGTGTTTTTCTTGCTGACCTTTCCTCTGACCCTACTTGATGTCCTTGCCCCAGTGTATTCAGTTGAGATGATGAAACCTGATTTGGAGCGACTCTTTCAACATGGATGAGGTTGGGCGAGGTTTTGATCGGTGATCTATTCTAGAAATCCGCTTTGGGTTTGGGTAATTGATCCTACACCGTCATCAGCTAGTCTTGTATCAGTAGCTATCTGGGAAGTATGGTTAGCGAGCAGTCGTCGCGTCACGGTAAACTGCCACGCCTCGCCTCGCCCTTCATTGAAGTCAGGGTCAACTTTTGCCGAGGCTCCTCGCTGCGCTGCATATCCAGTCATCTGTGCCATCTGTTGAAGAGTAGGTATCATCCTGCTCCATTTCCCCCTCCCTATTGCAATGCCTCCCGAATCCATCTATCACGAACTTCTGCTACAGCGGCCGCCAGTGCTTGCCACCAAGGCTAGCTGTGCATGCCTACAGCCTTCATTCGGTGCCCCGCTTCGTCTGTTCAAGATGTCTGCATCCTCTCGGCTCGGGCGAAGTATTTCTTCCATGAACCAGCGGGACATCGTTGCCTCCTGCCAAATTCCTCTCTGGATTTTCGTCTTCATGTGATGACCACCACGGCCGTCCACCATATTGCTCTGATCATCGTCTATGCACAGCATGCCTACTGTCTGATGCTCTCTTGTGCAGAAAGCCGTACCGTTCTGCCAGGCTCGCGGACGTCGTCGTCATCATCGTTATCGTCGTTGTCATGGAATGTCGCCAACTGGTCGGCTATAGTTGACGACTCAGAGCCTATCGGGGGCTGGCAGGGTGGTCTCTGTTTTGACGCATGTATCGTGCTTTGTGTAATGATTCGTTGCTGCCTACGGTAGTGGTTGTCTCTCGACACGCCTGACTCGGCGACTTGCTCTCGAAGTTTGCGTTTGCAAGCTCGCTCGAGTAATCAACGGCGAAGATGATGTTTCGCCCATAGATCGCCTTCAGGAACATGGGTTGGCGTACCCTCTGTCGGTTTGATGCGGTTTTCCAAATTTGTCCAGGCTGCTGGTGAGGTTGTTTCCCCAAGAATAATATTGGGTAAGCAGCCGGGGCTTACATAATCAGCATCTGCCACCACCTGGTCACATGAACCCCGCAGGTGAGCCGCACAAAATCAGCCGAGTCTGAATCTGAACGTTATTGAAGCAGACCATACTCCTATCATCAAGATGCCCTCAAGTACGTAGCTTGCAAAGCATAGACGACAGAAGTTTCGATGTCCGCGTTCACTCCTTCTCCCAGCTTTGTATCGCATGCAACGTCTGACGTGTACCATCGTTTTGAACTCGGTGAAGACAGACTGCAACTCGCAATAGATGCCGGGAAAGATCTCACTGGCGAAGTTCTAGTGCATTCACACGAAATCGGGGCCTGGTATCAAAATACAGGAAGACTGAGCAAGTTTGCGTGGCGAGCAATACATTCTAAATTATGGGATTATGCATCCGACGACGAGATAGTGAGGTATGTTCAACAAAAAGT